CACCATCCCGACGGACACTCCCGACGGGGGGAGCGACACGGAAGGACCCGCCCCCGCCCCTCGGGGCGGGGGCCCCCGCCCCCCCGGGGGGCCCTTTGGGGCCCCTCCAGGGGGCGACCCCTCCGGGGAGGCCGGCCCTCCCCGTGCCGGTTCTCCCCAACCAACCCCGCCGGCAGCGCGAGCTGCCGGCCATATTGAGCGGTTCAACCGCGTCGCGCACTCGTCCCAACCGAGGGCCGCAGACTCGTTCTGCGCGCCAACGGCTGGTGACGCTGTGTTGCCCTTGAGCTAGTCCTTCCCCGGTCGCCTAGCCTCTGCGCTGTCTGGCGGACGCCTGTATGCCATGCACGCGGACCACGCTTGCGTGGATACGTGGCTGGCAGGCTGACCCGTGTGCGGGGTAACCCGCGCACGGGGAAGCTTCACGGGTTCGAGCCGTCAAACATTGAGCAGCGGAGGTGTGCCGAGGGGGACCGGGAGGCGGTAAGTCGTCGTCGCCCGGCGCTGCTTGCAGCACCATGGCGATGGCGCTAAGAGGTTCCTCTTTTCCGCGCCCCCCCCGCAAGGCGCGCGATACACGTCCTCCACCACCTCTGAGGGGAATAGCCCTCCGGCTAGCTTTTCCCACTGCCTCTCCGGGGTAGTATCCTCGGGCACCAAGGTAAACTTCCAGAAGATAGAGCGATCTACTTTCCACTCACACACACACACTTGACGGGGGGTCTCAACCGTCAACCAGATGGTTGAGGGGGGGGCTCAACCCTCAACCCCAACCACCCCTATGGGCAGAGTAGAGTCGAGTATGCCGATGGAGCAGTGGTGGAGGCGCGCATCGCGCCCGGTGCTTCGCGCAGCCTCCGACTCCGCCGTCGCCTCCGCGTCTAACACGGGCTCGAGCCCGCTGCCTCTGCTCGGCGCCATCCTTCTTCTACTCGTGCTGCCGGTCTTTGTGCTGTTGCTGCTGGAGAGGCGCCGCCGCCGCGGACTGTCGCAGCCGCAGCCGCCGCAGCCGTCGCCGTCACCGTCGCCGCAGCCGTCGCCGCAGCCGTCGCCGGTCGGCACGGGACCAATGTCGTCCTTTTCGGAGTTTGTGGTCGATGCTGGCTCCGCCCATACCGAGGTTTTCGAGTTCTGCATCGGCGAGGATGGCGTGACGCGACAGCGGAGCTCACGGTGCAGCTGCGACCCACTTCCCGTGCCTCCCCCGCCGCCACCGCCGCCACTCCCTCTCCCTCTCCCGCAAACCCACCCCCGCCTCGCCTCCTCGAGATTTGATGGCATGTCGTTGGGCAGCGCCGGCTGAGCAGTTATTTTTGAATGGGTGCGGCTCTTCCTAGGTTGCGGATGCCGGATGGCAAGTCGCTGGCGCTCGGCGACGTGATAAAGGACGGCAGTAAGGACGCCTTCGAAAACTTCCTGCAGCTGCTGGCCGCGGCCCTTCGCTCCTTCGGCGCGGGATCGGAGGCGTTTCGGAAGGCGCACACCCACCCAGCAGCCGGCCCTGATCCGCTCTGTTTGATACAAACCAGCTGTGAATGATTCATAGGCGCACCCGCCCGAGACGTGCGTCGTCTTCCTCGGCGCCACGGGGGGCGTGCGAAAGATCCGCGACCGCGACGACGTCGGCGCGGCACAGGTGGACGCGTTTGCACGATTCTGCCGCCTGACGTGGCCAAAGGCGTGTTGCGCGTTCATGCATTCATTCATTCATGCATGCATCGTTCACTATCAAGTTATTAGCCTAATAATGTGCTAATTATTAGCACATACCTGATAATTAGCCTGATTGCATCTTTAGCCTATTTACACTAATCAGTTTCGTTAAAATGCTAAGAATGAGCTTAATAATAATAATATTATTATTAGGTATATGCTAATTATTAGGCTAAGCTAATAGTTTGATAGTGTGCATTCGTTCATTCATTCATGCATGCGTGCA